GTAGAGCATGAGTCTAACTTCAATAAGAGAAAAAGAGTTTCTTTTTCTTGTCCACTGTTTTTCTTTTCTTTTAAAGAAATTCCATGCCGTGGACACAGCGTGACGGCAGCATAGACCCGTGTACTCAACATTTTTAAAGCGTCACTATTCTTTGGAAAATCACTTATTGCATGGGCAATATGAGTTTGTGCCGGTCAGAGAAAGCCTAAAACCCCACCCCCACCCCCACCCCCTTACTTGGGTCTAGTCAAAGAGGATGTCTGGCAATTTAGTTTAGCTGAGGGATTATGGTCTTAGGCTTGGGCTTGGACTTGGGTCCAAAGCAGACAAAAAGATTCCCAGGTAAATCCCATAATAAGCTATGTAGGCTTTTCGAAAAAGAAAAAGAAACAAAGAAACAAATTCAATCTTGGGACAGGAGCCGATCTCCTGTTGGGAATAAAAAAAAGAAAAACGAGAATTCTTCCATCTCACCAAATCCCAAACCTCCCTCCCATCAGGTGCTTATTACCCGGGAAGAAAACCTTAAGCCTCCGTCATGAAATACAAAATATTTATAGTTAAAAACCAGACAGCCTAGGATCTGAAGGATTTTGCCGGCCTGGTAGCTACAATTTTGGCATCAGGCAAAATGTTCGATACTTTAGTCAGAATATACACTGTTGATAAAAGTCCTGATTTCCCTCATTAAGCCGTATTTCCAAGCCAATTATAAGTTTTTTGCTTCCAAACGTAAGATCAAAGAATGTTGATATCGGTATGTTCATTTAATTAGTCGGTATAGACCCTAACTGTTACTACAACTGCATGCTACCAGACGTTCTCCAAGTAGGGACAAGTAAGGAGCTTTGCGCCGTCCTTTGCTGTTCATCACCTCAGTGTCAAAATGTTTGCAAATGGAATGCAGCATGGAAACGCTTAGCTTTCGCAGCTTACCTGCCTTGTGCGTGTCACATAAATTGAAAGTGTAAAAAACAATTGGGTGCCTTAGCCCCACCTCCTCTAACACAGCTGCGCGAATATTTTCTAATTCCTACGCGATTTCCTCTTCAGCGGCCATAATATCTTCGTCTTGATCAGATTTTGGATCGTCCGAATGAGAATGCCCGAGTTTAGAGGCTCTTCTTGAAAGTATGACGGAATTTTCAGTTCGGTCAGAAATTCACTAAGTGTGAACAATTTTTCCCCTTCCTGGTTTCGCGCGTAACGCATGTCACGTGCAACATCCATTGGATGAAGTTTCACTCCTGTTGCTTGCCCTACTTTAAATTTCGCGTCTAAGTACTGTCGCTGGGAATCACTAAACCTCGTTGCCTTTCTACCGGGCACCGACTTGACGGAGCCTCCAGGATGGCTGGTTGTTCGCCTCACAAAGTAGTTTATCATGGTATAATACTTTGACTTTGTCCATATGACTTTCTCTGACCGGTAGAAACTCACATTGCCCATACAATAAGTGATTTTCCAAAGAATAGTGACGCTTTAAAAATGTCAGTGAGTACACGGTTCTATGCTGCCGTCACGCTGTGTCCACGGCATGAAATTTCTTTAAAAGAAAAGAAAAACAGTGGACAGGTCTGCACATATTTTTATCACTATTGATGGATCGGCACCATTTGAGTTTGATGTAGCGTTGTTATCTTGATCTAGACTTACCAGAGCTCATTTCTGATAACGTAATGATGCCCAATGAGTGACAGCAGAGCTAAAGAAACCTAAAGAAACACCAGTAGATTGGTTTAATTACATGAACTCCATCTTTCCTAATCATGATAGAAAAAGTTTTGATTTCATGGTGAAATTAATTATTGAGAAATATTTGCCTAGCAGGAAGAAGGAACTACTTTAATTAAAACTCATAAACTTCATTACCATAATCAATATTTTACATAAAAACGCCTCAAAAGGTTATGAAATCCTCAGCTCACCAATGACGATCTGTTTTCCAACAATGCACCCAAGCAATTCTATTCAGACGGTGAAGAAAACAGTCCCTCACCGCGAGATATCCAGAACTATCTGAACGAGATATCTTCTCAAGTTTCGATCTCTTCGCGAAACACCCAAATGATGTTATCAGGTCTTGCTTGGATGATTTTAGCGTACAGCGTGTGGAAGTCAGTGGCAGACGGCACAAATCATACGGAAACAAGTATTGCATTTTTATTTGATTTTTGTAGCGATTCGGTCACGGTCTTCTTCGCTTCTTATTCTTCCTTTGTAACACTAAGGGAAACACTGGTCGCTAAAACTAATTTAGACTTTGTGGGAGACATCTCAAATATCTTTATCTCTGAACATCCTGTGGTTTTTTTTATGATAACCAGCAACTGAGTTCTGAGGATCAAATGACGCTCCAGCACAGTTTTTCCTTAACTCCACTCTCAAATATACAAAAAAATTCTTTAATTAAAAAGTGAAAAAAATGACAAGCTACTAATTGCCGTTTTTATACATGATATAACATACGAAACCTTTTAGCGAAGACTTTTTCTTAAAGGAATTAATCACAGACAGTTGTGAATTCTATTAATAATAGGAAACCTTCGAAACATAAAATTTAATCGCCTCAGCAAGTGAAAAGTTAATCATTTTTTCTCGTCTAGATTGTCATTAGGCATCACATATCACTCAGTTTTACAAAGAAATAGTGTTTATTGGGGAAAAAAATTGTTCTTATCCACAGGTTCACAATTAAGCCTCCCTACAAAAGTGGTTTTCACTTTCACCTCGCGTGTAACCTTCCTGGTGTCTATGATTGGAAACTCTCTGGTGATCTATATCGTAATCAAAAATCAAACTATGAGAACATCCACCAACTGTCTAATAGTGAGTTTAGCTATAAGTGATGTTTTGATTACTATGATTCAGGCTCCCTCACTGATTGTAAACCTTTGCAGTGGAGATGAAGCATATGCATCTTATCTGGGAAATCTTACTAATAAGATATTTATGTTAGGAGTTTCTATATTACTTTATTCCTCAATTTTCAACACTGTTGTTTGCCATCGCCATCGATCGATTTCTGGCCGTCACTAGACCATTGACATACAAAGTCTCATCAAACCGACTAGTAAAAACAGGGATTCCTCTCGTATGGTTGAGTTCATGTTTGCTATCGCTAGAGATGGCAATACAAGTTGGGAACGATGAAGCAATACGTGCAAAAAGTCGTTTTGCATTGTGCTTGTCATTAGTATTTTTGGTCATCTCGCTGATCACTTTAATTGCACTTTATTCTGTAATTTGTTATCGTCTTTGGAGAAGAAGTATTCCTGGTGAAGTGTCCAGAAATCAGCAAGCACTTGCTATTCGAATAGCACGGAAGGTCACTATTTCAATGATATCTATTGTAACCGTGTTTTTTCTTTCATGGGCACCAATTTTTGTGACTATGCTTGCGCAAGTATTCGACTTTAATTCATCTTCTATGTCAATAATGATAGAAAACCCGATTTTCGCTGCCATTAGTTTCTGGTTAGTCGTAAACAGCAGTGCTTGTAACCCGTGTTTGTATTTCCTTTTTATCGAAAGCTTCCGTCAAGGTCTAATATTATTCTGTTCACCCCCAATTCCCAGTAAACAGGCCAGACCACATCACAGTAATCTCGTGAGGGGGTTTTTTAACGTCCCCTGCCTAACCAAATTAACTCTTTAATAGACGCAGGAGACGGAACCTACGGTTTATTCGTTTATTGGTTAGCTCAATTTCATACGCCTGCGATCCCCAGTTTACCTTATGTAGTATATAATTAAAGTCGTCTATCGTTTCTTGCACATTGTTTTAATGCTCTATCTGTATGGACATTTTTTTGTTTAGTTGAGAATAATGAACTACTCTAGAAAGGTATATGTACTAGAGATAGATTGCTTAGATGGTTAAGTTCCTCTGACAAATTCATAATAAAAGACATGAAATCCTTCCCTCAAAGGCGCCCTGTTGGAGATTTAAGCAGAAATTTGAAGAAATATTTATTAGCGCATGATTATTTGAATGCTTGATTGATTTCACAGACTGATCCATATCAAACTGCTCTAAATAGATAAATAAGGACCAAACTGTCATTTTTCTGTCAGTTTTTACGGGAGCTCGTCTTTCGATCCAACAACAAATTGATTAATTGCTCTTCTGCAAATTTGTTCCTTAACATGAATTTTTCTGCGAAAAAGCTCCTAAAGTTACGCAACCACCATCGTACTGTCCATGATACTTTGGTTTACGAAAATCAGTCGATCAAAAGTAAAATGTTTGTTCATTTGAGTATAACTGAGAAGACAGTTGTTTTGCATTTGTGTGATGTATTTTGCATATAGTAAAACAAAACAAGATCATGTGAAGGTGTAGTCTGATCGTCCGGGTGAGTGTAGTCCTGAGAAGGACTGTTGTCGGTGGTAGTGACTGACGTTTCGACAACCTGTGCGGAAGTCATCATCAGAGTCAAGTGAATAGTTATTGTCAGTACAATGTTCTTATTTCAGTTTGTGTGAAATGATCGGTTGGTTTTGCCGTGATGTTATTGGCTNAGCGCCATAAGGTATGATTTTTTTTTGAAAATATTTTAATTGAGGATTGGGCATCAAAGTTACAACGACATTTTTTTTTAATTTTGAAGGAAAACTTACACGGAAAATTACTATGCATAACTGATTAAGTAGTCTAAATAGATAGGATCAAAATAAATGGACTCTACGTCGAGTATACCGATGTGCCTCTCCCGTTGATACTAGAAATGAACTTGCATTTCCCCTTATGGATTCACAGAAAAATGCAGGAATTTCCTCTCATTTCTCATCAGATTTCCAATTCAGTTTACCAACAAGAGTGATTTTTGCCACAGCCACATTATTCAGCTTCCTGATGTCTGTGATAGGCAACTCCCTTGTGATTTGCATCATAGCCAAGCAACAGTCCATGAAAACATCAACCAACTATCTCATAAGGAACTTGGCTGTTTGTGATATTTTAACCACTGTACTCATGACACTAAATTTAATCAAAAGAATTTTTCTCGAAGGCAAATGGTTTGGCGGTGTTATGGGAAGCGTCACTTGTAAAATGGTGGAATACGGAAACTCCGTTACACTTTTTTGTTCTCTTTCAAACCTAGTTGCTATCGCAATTGATCGATATCTTGCTGTCACTCGACCACTATCTTACAAGCTGTCATCAAAATGGCTGGTAAAAATATCAGTTCCTGTCATGTGGTTGATTTCACTTTCATTACCTATAGCAAGTGTGTCTGACACACAATTATTATACTACGACGGTAATGTGTGGCCAAGATGTGAAGAGGTAGGAAATCGAGGCTCTTGGGATTTGTACTTGTCGATAGCTTCTATAATCTGCTCATTTATCGCATTGACTACGCTTTACTCAGCAATTTCTTATCGAATTTGGAGAAGAAACATTCCTGGTGAGATGTGCAGCAATCAAAAGGAGCTTGTTATTCGTACAGCACGAAAGGTCACTATTTTAATGATATCAGTTGTAGTTGTCTTTTTTGTTTCAATGGCACCAGCTTTTGTTTTTCTCATAATCTTCGAATTTGGAAACGCTGGTCCTACGTTTGGAGCAACTGTAATGCAATACCCGTTTTTATTTGCTTTCAGTTACTGGCTAATTTGTAACAACAGCGCTTTTAACCCTTTGTTGTATTTCGTATTTATTGAAAGTTTTCGTCAAGGCTTGAGATCGGCTTGTTCAAGATGTCGGGTTCCACGATTCTCAGCGCATAAAAGGAGGCTCGAAGCTGGACCAGAATTAACTAGAAATATGCCAGCTTTGGACATCATCAATAGGGAAGAAGGAAACATTGAAATGACGGCATACTACAGGTACAGTTCATAAGCGTATAAAACGTTTGTAATTT